ACACAAGAGGAGGAGGACTGGCGAAGCTCGAAGGATTTGGTCAGACAAGGATCAAATGTGTCGAGATGGTTTGATAGGCGGACAACCTTTCACGTCGGGTGCCTAGAGTGCCGAGCCTTGCAGGTGGCTTGTCCAGGACAAGCTTGGCGGGTTTTTGACTTGTCCAGGACAAGCTTGGCGGGTTTTTGACTTGTCCAGGTCAAGCTTGGCGGGTTTTTGACTTGTCCAGGACAAGCTTGGCGGGTTTTTGACTTGTCCAGGACAAGCTTGGCGGGTTTTTGACTTGTCCAGGACAAGCTTGGCGGGTTTTTGACTTGTCCAGGACTAGTTTGATGGGTTTTTGACTTGTCCAGGACTAGCTTGGCGGGTTTTTGACTCGTCCAGGACTAGTTTAGCGGGTTTTTGACTTGTCCAGGACTAGTTTGATGGGTTTTTGACTTGTCCAGGACTAGTTTGGCGGGTTTTTGACTTGTCCAGGACTAGCTTGGCGGGTTTTTGACTTGTCCAGGACTAGTTTGGCGGGTTTTTGACTTGTCCAGGACTAGTTTGGCGGGTTTTTGACTTGTCCAGGACAAGCTTGGCGGCCTTTTGACTCGTCCAGGACAAGCTTGGCGGGTTTTTGACTTGTCCAGGACAAGCTTGGCGGGTTTTTGACTTGTCCAGGACTAGTTTGGCGGGTTTTTGACTTGTCCAGGACAAGCTTGGCGGCCTTTTGACTCGTCCAGGACAAGCTTGGCGGCCTTTTGACTCATCCAGGACAAGCTTGGCGGGTTTTTGACTTGTCCAGGACAAGCTTGGCGGGTTTTTGACTTGTCCAGGACTAGTTTGGCGGGTTTTTGACTTGTCCAGGACAAGCTTGGCGGCCTTTTGACTCGTCCAGGACAAGCTTGGCGGCCTTTTGACTCATCCAGGACAAGCTTGGCGGGTTTTTGACTTGTCCAGGACAAGCTTGGCGGGTTTTTGACTTGTCCAGGACTAGTTTGGCGGGTTTTTGACTTGTCCAGGACAAGCTTGGCGGCCTTTTGACTCGTCCAGGACAAGCTTGGCGGGTTTTTGACTTGTCCAGGACAAGCTTGGCGGGTTTTTGACTTGTCCAGGACTAGTTTGGCGGGTTTTTGACTTGTCCAGGACTAGTTTGGCGGGTTTTTGACTTGTCCAGGACTAGTTTGGCGGGTTTTTGACTCGTCCAGGACAAGCTTGGCGGCCTTTTGACTCGTCCAGGACAAGCTTGGCGGCCTTTTGACTCGTCCAGGACAAGCTTGGCGGCCTTTTGACTCGTCCAGTACAAGCTTGGCGGCCTTTTGACTCGTCCAGGACAAGTTTGGCGGCTTTTTGACTCGTCCAGGACAAGCTTGGCGGCCTTTTGACTCGTCCAGGACAAGCTTGGCGGCCTTTTGACTCGTCCAGGACAAGCTTGGCGGCCTTTTGACTCGTCCAGGACAACAGCCGCCGTGTTAAACAAGGTGTAAACATGACTCGGGCCGTCTACAATGTCTGCCAACATCAGGGGCTCCATTAGCAACATTGGCTCATCTCATAGACAGTCTCGGGAACTATCAACATCCTGAACCACTTCCAGATGACAAGTCCACCGAGATCACCACTAAGACGTCCCATCACAGTCTTGGCCAAGCTGCAGCAGCTCGTCTCGTGTGAACTGTACTCGCCAACCTGTGGTCTTGCAAATATGTGTAAATGCCAGCATCTGTAGACTGCTGAGCTGTACTGTACACACTACAATGGCTGAGTGGTTTCGTCCCCGACCTTGCCGTAACTCTCATGACCCATGAACTTGACAAACACCTCCAAAGGATACCTGATCAACCAGGCTGTAACTCATACGTCAGGCTGCGAGCCGCCGCGTCCAACAGCCTGATTGATGAGTCCAGCAACCAGGAGGCCTGGTCGACGACCGGGCCGCGGTGACGCTAAGCCCCGGAAGCACCTCAAGGTAACCTCAAGGTAAGGAAACCTTGTCGTTACCTAGGACTAACTATCCAACACATGAATATGTAATAATATTAACTAATGAGGAAATAGGTATTGAATGGGCATTACACTCAGAACGCCTCTGAGGGGTCGCAGTGTACTCAGAACGCCTCTGAGGGGGTCGCAGTACACTCAAAACGCCTCTGAGAGGTCGCAGTACACTCAGAACGCCTCTGTGGGTGTCGCAGTACACTCAGAACGCCTCTGAGGGGTCGCAGTACACTCAGAACGCCTCTGAGGGGTCGCAGTATACTCAGAACGCCTCTGAGGGGTCGCAGTACACTCAGAACGCCTCTGAGGGGTCGCAGTACACTCAAAACGTCTCTGTGGGGGTCACAGTACACTCAGAACGCCTCTGAGGGGTCGCAGTATACTCAGAACGCCTCTGTGGGGTCGCAGTACACTCAGAACGCCTCTGAGGGGTCGCAGTACACTCAGAACGCCTCTGTGGGTGTCGAAGTACACTCAGAACGCCTCTGAGGGGGTCGCAGTATACTCAGAACGCCTCTGAGGGGGTCGCAGTACACCCAGAACGCCTCTGAGGGGTCGCAGTACACTCAGAACGCCTCTGTGGGCTCACAGTATACTCAGAACGCCTCTGTGGGCTCACAGTACACTCAGAACCCCTCTCTGGGGTTCGCAGTACAATCAGAACGCCTCTCTGGGGTCAATCGCCGGGTGGACGCGCCTAGCCTGAAGACAGGTTGAAATATCAAGGGAGCGAGGCGCCGGCTCCAGATGATCCAAGTGTTCCGCTACCATCCCTTACCCCCCCCCCCCCCGCAGGCCTCGTACCTCAGCTCCTGGCCCCCGGCATCCCTTCCATGGGCTGTAGAATCATATTATGTCTCTTCATAAGTTCCTTTACTATAGCCCGCCCAAGTCAGGCTCTGACTGAGGTAGAACTCTTGAAATCCTCGACAGGTAAACACAGGAGGATGATTGGCTATGGAGGAGAAGTTAATGTAAATTCCCATTCTCTGTTAGATGGGGGTGGGGGTGGGGGGGGTTGAGGGGTGGAGGTAGGGGGGGGGGTGGAGGGAGAGGTTGGGGGTGTATGGAGTTGGCGGAGCTGCGTCGTGAGACTAGTGGGGGGTAGCTTGGAGGAGGGGCGGTCAAGTGGGGGGATGTTGTGGGGAGGGGAAGTGGGGGAAGGTGTGCTGGGGTGCTGGAATGGGTGGGGGGTGTGGGGAGGGGTCAGAGACGACGGAGGGTGTGGGGGGTGTAGGAGCCCCAGGAGGGGTCCAACAACACCCCCGCCCCCCTGCCATGTGAACCAATACACACTACAACCACCTCACTACACTGTCTGTTTAATCTTTGAAACCTTCTTCCTTCCTTTCGAAAAACCCGTAGTTTAGAGCTCACCTCACTACAACACCCACGAGTACAAGTCATCACCTAGAACTAAACCCAGAACCCTAAACCCTAAATCCTAAACTCTAAACAGGACCGTGGATGGTCTACACTCACTTGTGTATATCCACACTAGAAGTCTCGTTTCTCGACTGGAAAGCACTCCAACTCCCACTCAAAAATCCCCGAGGCACTCCTAGAGCCCTGGGAAGCATTCTTCAGCCCCCAACACCCGACCACAACAACACCACTCACCAGGGCGTCCCTCAGCCCCAACACCCGACCATAACACTCACCAGGGCGTCCCTCAGCCCCAACACCCGACCATAACACTCACCAGGGCGTCCCTCAGCCCCAACACCCGACCATAACACTTACCTGGGCGTCCCTCAGCCCCAACACCCGACCATAACACTCACCAGGGCGTCCCTCAGCCCCAACACCCGACCATAACACTCACCAGGGTGTCCCTCAGCCCCAACACCCGACCACAACACTCACCAGGGCGTCCCTCAGCCCCAACACCCGACCACAACACTCACCAGGGCGTCCCTCAGCCCCAACACCCGACCATAACACTCACCTGGGCGTCCCTCAGCCCCAACACTCGACCATAACACTCACCTGGGCGTCTCTCAGCCCCAACACTCGACCATAACACTCACCAGGGCGTCCCTCAGCCCCAACACCCGACCATAACACTCACCAGGGCGTCCCTCAGCCCCAACACCCGACCACAACACTCACCAGGGCGTCCCTCAGCCCCAACACACGACCATAACACTCACCAGGGCGTCCCTCAGCCCCAACACTCGACCATAACACTCACCTGGGCGTCTCTCAGCCCCATCACTCGACCATAACACTCACCTGGGCGTCCCTCAGCCCCAACACTCACCTGGGCGTCCCTCAGCCCCAACACCCGACCACAACACTCACCAGGGCGTCCCTCAGCCCCAACACACGACCATAACACTCACCAGGGCGTCCCTCAGCCCCAACACACGACCATAACACTCACCTGGGCGTCCCTCAGCCCCAACACACGACCATAACACTCACCAGGGCGTCCCTCAGCCCCAACACACGACCATAACACTCACCTGGGCGTCCCTCAGCCCCAACACACGACCATAACACTCACCAGGGCGTCCCTCAGCCCCAACACTCGACCATAACACTCACCTGGGCGTCCCTCAGCCCCAACACACGACCATAACACTCACCTGGGCGTCCCTCAGCCCCAACACACGACCATAACACTCACCTGGGCGTCCCTCAGCCCCAACACTCACCTGGGCGTCCCTCAGCCCCAACACTCACCTGGGCGTCCCTCAGCCCCAACACTCACCTGGGCGTCCCTCAGCCCCAACACTCACCTGGGCGTCCCTCAGCCCCAACACTCACCTGGGCGTCCCTCAGCCCCAACACTCACCTGGGCGTCCCTCAGCCCCAACACTCACCAGGGCGTCCCTCAGCCCCAACACCCGACCATAACACTCACCTGGGCGTCCCTCAGCCCCAACACCCGACCATAACACTCACCAGGGCGTCCCTCAGCCCCAACACCCGACCATAACACTCACCTGGGCGTCCCTCAGCCCCAACACCCGACCATAACACTCACCAGGGCGTCCCTCAGCCCCAACACTAACCTGGGCGTCCTTACAGCTGGCCAACTTCCTCTTGTCCAACAGAGCCTTGAGCTCCCTGAGGTCGCCCTTCTCCACAGCGTCGTGAATCAGGTCGATCTTGGACTGTCGTCGCCGCCCGGGGAGAGAGAGACAAGGGGTGAGAAATAGAGTATAATCATTAGTATACTGATTAAACCGGTTAACGTACGCTTTTAACCGGATATACCCGTCAAAATAGGGGTTCTAACCGGTTACGTTACGTACCGGGCATGAGAGAGATAAACTTATTTGCAGGAGTTAAATGTTTGTGAGGTATTGACTATCTGGCTGTTAGGTCGATATTGGGAACTGGAGAGTATAACGAGGCTATGGTTATACTAGCAGACATACTAGTTATACTAGAGAGTATACTGGACATACTAGGAGGCATACTGGAAGACAGGGACCGGTGCAATGGGTGTAAACTAACAGGCAAGAGGAACAAGGTTACTTGAGATAAATATCAGTGACGAGGATAATATTAGTGTTTTGATCAATGAAGTTGTTGTGGGTAGTAAAGCGAAGTTATATGCATCGTCTCTCTCTCTCTCTCTCTCTCTCTCTCTCTCTCTCTCTCTCTCTCTCTCCTCTCTCTCTCTCTCTCTCTCCTCTCTCTCTCTCTCTCTCTCTCTCTCTCTCTCTCTCTCTCTCTCTCTCTCTCTCTCTCTCTCTCTCTCTCTCACACACCCACACAACCCCATCACCCACACCCACTCATGTAGCATAACAGTCAACAGGATCAATACTGTCATTCTAGGAACTGACAACACACAGACCCAAACCCGGGCCCATACGTTAGGGCAACACCAGGCAAGGAAGCACAGACAGACACAGACACAGACACAGACACAGATATAGTGACAGACAAAATAAAGAGTATATACGACCAATGCAGCACTAGAAGTTGAAGGGACGACGACGTTTCGGTCCGTCCTGGACCATTCTCAAGTCGATTGTGACAATCGACTTGAGAATGATCCAGGACGGACCGAAACGTCGTCGTCCCTTCAACTTCTAGTGTGTGGTCTGGTCAACATATAAGACCAAAGGAGACAGATCTACAGGTTAAGCTAGTATAACTAGGGACAGGTATGGTTGAACTAGCATAACTAGGCCATTTATGGTTGAACTAGTATCGTGGCTAATAGCCTAAACCAAGACATTGCATACTCGGCCTGGTATGCAATGTCCGATTTGCCTAACTGGCCGAAATATATATATATATATATATATATATATATATATATATATATATATATATATATATATATATATATATATATATATTTATATATATATATAAATATATATATATATATATATATTTCTCAAATCTTTGTCAAGATTGGTTCTTTTTTAATAATAATAATCTGTTGTATTAGGAACATGAATTGCTGATTTTGATAAGTTAGCTGTGGATAGGGTAACTGTGGATAGGGTAACTGTGGATAGGGTAGCTGTGGATAGAGTAACTGTGGATAGGGTAACTGTGGATAGAGTAGCTGTGGATAGGGTAGCTTTGGATAGGGTAACTGTGGATTGAGTAGCTGTGGATAGGGTAGCTGTGGATAGGGTAACTGTGGATAGGGTAACTGTGGATAGAGTAGCTGTGGATAGGGTAGCTGTGGATAGGGTAACTGTGGATAGGGTAACTTTTGGATAGGGTAGCTGTGGATAGGGTAGCTGTGGATAGGGTAACTGTGGATAGGGTAACTGTGGATAGGGTAACTGGATAGGGTAACTATGGATAGGGTAACTGTGGATAGGGTAGCTGTGGATAGGGTAACTGTGGATAGAGTAGCTGTGGATAGGGTAGCTGTGGATAGGGTAACTGTGGATAGAGTAACTGTGGATAGGGTAGCTGTGGATAGGGTAACTGTGGATAGGGTAACTGTGGATAGAGTAACTGTGGATAGAGTAGCTGTGGATAGAGTAGCTGTGGATAGGGTAGCTGTGGATAGGGTAACTGTGGATAGGGTAACTGTGGATAGGGTAACTGTGGATAGAGTAGCTGTGGATAGGGTAACTGTGGATAGGGTAACTGTGGATAGGGTAACTGTGGATAGAGTAGCTGTGGATAGGGTAACTGTGGATAGGGTAACTATGGATAGGGTAACTGTGGATAGAGTAGCTGTGGATAGGGTAACTGAGGATAAGGTAACTGTGGATAGGGTAACTGTGGATAGGGTAACTGTGGATAGGGTAACTGTGGATAGAGTAGCTGTGGATAGGGTAACTGTGGATAGGGTAACTGTGGATAGGGTAACTGTGGATAGAGTAGCTGTGGATAGGGTAACTGTGGATAGGGTAACTGTGGATAGGGTAACTGTGGATAAGGTAACTGTGGATAGAGTAGCTGTGGATAGAGTAACTGTGGATAGAGTAGCTGTGGATAGGGTAGCTGTGGATAGAGTAGCTATGGATAGGGTAACTGTGGATAGGGTAGCTGTGGATAGGGTAACTGTGGATAGGGTAACTGTGGATAGGGTAACTGTGGATAGAGTAACTGTGGATAGGGTATCTGTGGATAGGGTATCTGTGGATAGAGTAACTGTGGATAGAGTAGCTGTGGATAAGGTAACTGTGGATAGGGTAACTGTGGATAGGGTAACTGTGGATAGAGTAGCTGTGGATAGAGTAGCTGTGGATAGGGTAACTGTGGATAGAGTAGCTGTGGATAGAGTAGCTATGGATAGATTTCTGTAAGTTTAAACAAGACAAAATACAATACATAGTACAATGAAATTAACATTTCACAAGATTTGAGTTTTATGGAAAATTAAATATTCCCGAAAATTCGGCTTGTTAAGCAACTCTGGCTATCAGGAACTACACTAGTATACCTAGGATATATAGGGTTGAGCTAGTAGTAGGATATACTCCTGAGTATATCATGTAGGCATATTGGACACCTTTATAGAGGTATAGGAGAATATCTTATATCGGAGTATAATCTGATTATATCTGGCTATACGTCTCGTTATACATACTATATATATACATATGCATACTATATATATACATATACCTACATATGCAAGGTAAGCCAAGCTAGGCTTAATACATACGCTAAGGCTATATGTAGTAAATATGTGTTTTACCAAGTCTGAGAATACTCTCCCTGCCCTCTAGTATATAAATATTGTAGAATATCAATATTACTGCGCATATATGCACATTCATATATACTTCTAACTTGTATATATATGAATATATACACATTAGGAGAGCATGCGTGTGCGTGTACGTGTGTGTGTTATCTTGAGATGATTTCGGGGCTTTAGTGTCCCCGCGGCCCGGTCCTCAACCAGGCCTCCACCCCCAGGAAGCAGCCCGTGACAGCTGACCAGGTACCTATTTACTGCTAGGTAACAGGGGGCATTCAGGGTGAAAGAAACTTTGCCCATTTGTTTTTGCCTCGTGCGGGAATCGAACCCGCGCCACAGAATTACGAGTCCTGCGCGCTATCCACCAGGCTACGAGGTCCCTCACAGATGTGTTCTTTAACGCCTTCCACCTATAGCTTTATATAACTGTTTAACTATAGTCCCGTGGTCACAATATAGTCCTGACCGGTCCCCCATATATGGTGGCTATATAGAGTGGTGACTGGCCCCTGGTGAAGCAGTGAAGGGCACAATGCTATACTCGCTAGCAAGGAATGACGTCACATTATAGCAAACCTCCTGCTACTGGCTAATCCATCATGACGTCATGATCAACGCTGCCCTGCCATTGGTCAGTCGTTGCCATGTGGCCGCGCGCCCCCACGATGTAAACAAACACAGCATGGAACCCTCACCTCTCACTCCCCCTTCCTCCTGTCTCTCCTCCCGCCCCTCCTCCTCAGTCTATACCTCCCTGCCCCCCCCCCCAACGTGGGTCGACCCCCCCTCCCCCTTCTCTCCCCCTCCCCCAGCCCCCCCAACGTCTCGTTCACCCATAACTTATTCACTTGTGTTGACATTCCTCCGTCGCAGAGTCGCACCAACACACGAAAATAAACGAAAAACACGACCCAATGGCCGACCTGATTTCAGCATAAATTGTTTTCGTGATGTTATCGCAGCGATGAGCCCAAACGCTTTCGTAGCGCCAGGGGGGGTGGAGGTATGTGATACCTTTAATAACGTGATAATTATTGTTTTAATTGTTAGTAGTTCAAGTTGGTGTTCAAAGTGTTCTTATTCGACACGTTCACCTCGTTAGTCTTATCTCTGTCCCTCGCCCCCCCTCCCCCTCCTCCCCAGGGCGATGTGTGTTGATTAGTTAGATAGTTGGTAATGTTGGAGGAGGGGGGGGGGGTGGCCCCAGAGAGGGGGGGCGTGTCTGGGGACAGTGTTGGTTTGACACAGACTAGTTGGCCCACACTGTGTCACGATGCTGCCGTGACACTCCCTTCTGTGTGTGTGTGAGTGTGTCAGTGTGTGTGTGTGTGTGTGTGTGTGTGTGTGTGTGTGTGTGTGTGTGTGTGTGTGTGTGTGTGTGTGAGTGTGTGAGTGTGTGTGTGTGTGTGTGTGTGTGTGTGTGTGTGTGTGTGTGTGTGTGTGTGTGTGTGTGTGTTTACTAGTTGTGTTTTTGCGGGGGTTGAGCTTTGCTCTTTCGGCCCGCCTCTCAACTGTCAATCAACTGTTTACTAACTACTAACTTACTACTTTTTTTTTTTTTTTTTTCCCCACACCACACACACACACACACACACACACCAGGAAGCAGCCCGTGACAGCTGACTAACTCCCAGGTACCTATTTACTGCTAGGTAACAGGGGCATTTTAGGGTGAAAGAAACTTTGCCCATTTGTTTCTGCCTCGTGCGGGAATCGAACCCGCGCCACAGAATTACGAGTCCTGCGCGCTATCCACCAGGCTACGAGGCCCCTATGTGTGTGTGTGTGTGTGTGTGTGTGTGTGTGTGTGTGTGTGTGTGTGTGTGTGTGTGTGTGTGTGTGTGTGTGTGTGTGTGTGTGTGTGTATTCACCTTGTTGTGCTTACAGGGATTGAGCTCTGCTCTTTCGGCCCGCTTCTCAACTGTCAATCAACTATTATTAACTATTTTTTTCACACCCAGGAAGCAGCCCGTAACA